TCATTCATTCATACGAGCAACCTTGGCTCTCTTAAGTTGAATCAAGAAATATAATATCTTAGAGGCTTTTTTTAACAATTTCATTAATATGGGTATTCCAGGTCAAATTACTGGAGATATTAAGATCCAAAAGCTTTACATTTTCTACCACTTCTAAAGCATCGCCATTGATGAGAATGGGCTTAAATTCTTGCTGGAACTTTGAAAACGATATTCGCATCTCTTTACACTTTTCATTGTTTAATTGGACTCTATTTTCCAGGGACCATTGTATTACTCTACCTGTATGACACTGTGCGTTACTAAGCTCCCCATTTGCAACCGTCTCGGAGATGGTGGTGTCATCTACAAATTTCCATAAGCGAGCATTTTGGACTACTGGATCGTTGATCATAATTAAGAAAAGCCAAGGCCCTAGTTTGGTTCCCTGGGGGACGCCCGATGGTACTGATCGCCAATCAGATACATATCCCTCACTAAGTTTGATTCTTTGAGATCTGTCTGACAAAAGTCGATAACCTAATCAATAACGCTATTTGGCACGTTTAACTTACATAATTTCTTTATAAAGATGCTATGGTTAATTAAATCAAAGGCCTTACGATAATCGAACAAAATAGTTCTTATAGTAGCAGCATTCCCGTCGGTGCCCTCACATCAAACATGAAGCATGTCCAGTAAAGCGAAGGTGGTACCGCGCCATACTGATTCATATCGAGATTATCAAGAACGGCAGGCATGATGTAATCGCGTACCACGAACTCCTCTACCACCTTCGAGATACATGGAGTGAGTGAGATGGGTCTAAGATCTTTCTCTAGCATTTGCACGGGTTTTTTCTTAGGAAACGGGATTATATCAGCCAATTTCCACGAAAGAGGTAGGCGTTGCTCTTTAAACAGTGCGTTGAGAATTTTGCATACAGGAAAAGCAATAAGATCGGCGTATTCGCGCAGAAACCAATTAGGAACCTGTCAGGACCACATGATTGGAATCGATGAAGTTTTGATAGTGTTTTCCAAACAAGTTTTTCGGATACTTCTAGGAACTCCGGGGGATTTTTTTCTAGTGCCAAACGAGTAATGGGACACAACAGACGATACTCTTCAAGAGGCTCGAGGAATGCTTTATTTATGGAGTTCGCCAATTCATGTGTGGGAAAGTTCTCAACTTTCTTAACGTTTTTATGATTGGTGAGATCGCCTGAGAAAATTTTTTTTGTCAGTCGTTCGATAGCCCTCAACCAAGTTCATTTCCCAGAACGAGAAACTATTAAAATTTCCAATCTAAAAAAAAGAACAAAACACTCATGCTAGCCCGTCTAGGTCAAGAATACGGACAGAATGATTGTTGGCGTGACTATGTTTGCATATCGACTTAAAATGTAAAGAGATACTTAGCGTTCAGTGTCGGGTTCTTGTTCTGATATCCAGCTCATTTTGGTCTTCAGTCCAGCCGGTCATGGCCCGGAAAAGAGCGTCAGAATTGTCCAGCTCGTTAGCTGAGAGCCAGACGATTTTTCTTGTCCGAGCCATGACGATATCTGGCATTTACAAAACTTTTAAAACGTCACCTCTTTATAAATCGACAAAGGGTGAAGAAAACAAACAATACATGTGGTCTCGTTATCTCATTTCCAAGAGTTCCCTTAGGCCTGCTTCCCATTAGTTTTTATCCCGATAATTTTCTTCACGCAATCACAATGAAGTTATCGTTTTCATTGGTTTTATTATGTTGTCATAATAAAACCAATGAAACCAAATGTCATTCAAGGGGCAGAGGATAATGCATTCATTTGGATGTTGAACCGGAAAACAAAATATGCAGAGTTAAAAAATCAAGTCATATTTGAAGCCAGAAAACCCCCCTTTTTTGGAATTAGATAGCATGCTTTTTCAAACATATTTAAAACTATGTTTAAATTTGGTCAATGTATGAACTTTAATCTCTGTCAGTATGAATTGATTTGCCCTCAAGAAGGATACACGAGTTTACTTTTCGAAGCTATAGACAGGATAATATAAACAGAGCTGTTTTCGATGCCTAGCTCGGGCTGTTACGAAATGATTGTGTTTTGTACAAGTAAATAACCCAAATGAATTCCGATGATTGCAAGTTGGTCTGAAACGGCTTTCTGTAATTTGCGAAGCGAAACGAAATGAAATGAAGATCTATAATTTGCGGAATAGTAATCTGGCGACGATTTTCAAAGTAGAAATCTGTACTTTTGCGAAATGGACGTCTATAAATGACTTGTGAACCAGATAGAATCCGTAATTTTAGAAATAGAAATCTGTTAATGATTTGCGACACAGAAATCTGTAATTTGCGAAATAGAAATCGCTTGATGATTTCCGAAATAATTTGAAATCTGTAATTTGAGAAATGGAAATCTGTCATTTGCGAAACGAGAATCTGTTTAAAAAAAACTTCACAGCTCGGCCAGAATGAATAGGTCAGCTCACTTCAAATGTGGATTGTATACGCAGCCTACCAATCATAATAACAACAATTAGCGAAAGTGAGAAATAAAAAATCCGTGTGGCGCTCTTTGCGAAATCTCCACTACGTTCGTGAATAAAGCAATGCGCCATCTATGTTAGAGAAGAGTTGCACCATGCAGAGTAAACGTATGAAGGTGTAATCTGATCGTCCGGGTGAGTGTAGTCCTGAGAAGGACTGTTGTCGGTGGTAGTGACTGACGTTTCGACAACCTGTGCGGAAGTCATCATCAGAGTCAAGAGTCATCAGAGTCATCATCAGTGTCAATCTTGACTCTGATGATGACTTCCGCACAGGTTGTCGAAACGTCAGTCACTACCACCGACAACAGTCCTTCTCAGGACTACACTCACCCGGACGATCAGACTACACCTTCACATGTTACCCCCGGGTTCAAACCATTTTCTGCAGAGTAAACGTAATTTGAAATATTTGCTAGAGTTGTAGCAAGTTCGAATGCGGGATTTGACACTTCCTGACCGAAAATACACGTGGAAAATGTCGCGGTAGGCTTCTAGATAAGATATTACGTTTGTTGATGTAACTGACCCCAGCTATTTGATCTTCTTGAGCTACACGCATGTTTACGATTTTTTCGTTTTTCTTTTATTTATTTATTTACTTTTTTTACGGATTTGTATTTCGCAAATTTCAGATTTTCATTTCGTTTCGATTCGTTTCGTTTCGCCTTGCAAACTACAATTAACATTGGCATGAGATTCCAAGTAACGCCATTATTGCTTAAACTTAACCATTTCCCCGAGTTCATCGATTTTATCGATGGCTTTTGTTTTCTTTGATGCCATGAGGAGAAAAGTCAATGAGCACAATTTGTAGGTAGGAAAGAGATGACTATCAGGTTGGGCATTACGCCGCAATTTTATAGCCTACGTACTCTTTAAATATATGAAATCGGCTCCCCTGTCGAGTACACAAAGCGAACTTCACTGATTTCTGGGAAATCAGTGAAATCAGTGGTATCAAAAGGGGGAAGGGGAATTTAATTATTTCGTAGCGTTATGCACTTATCAAGTTGTGTAAATAGCATTCAAGCCTAGAAGTGTTGTTAAATTAATGTTATGGCAACATCCATCTGCAGGTTGATGAAATAGAGTCAAAACCCTTTATTGCTTATTATTGTGTTGTTAGAAAGTAGTTGCATCATTTACATTGTTGTCATCAGTACAGTAGAAAGCACTCCTGTAACTCCCACAAGTAATTAACCTGTAACTTCTCTCCAACATATCCCTACATCCTCCAGAAAACATGTAATCGGAATACTCAGATTCTTGTAATTAATTTCCAAGGACAATATAACAGCTGGAGTGGAAAACTAACATTCAGATCCTGAGAATTCAACGGTTACAGCAAATCTCTCACTTAGACCTTAAAATGCCTTCTTCACGTTGTTTCGAAATAGAAAAAGTACCTTGAGGTACCAGCAGACACATTCATCAATTAAACGTTTGTTGTGAGGAAAATCTCTTTCCCACTCCCCATAGAGGCTGGCCAACCATTTTAAGAGGTTAAAATCTCTAACCCCATCTCCCCTCCCCAGTCTCCCCATTCACCGCTCTCCCTGTAAAACACAGCACAGCCATTGTTAGTCGCTCTGGATTGGGCGTCTAATCTGAAGTATGTTCTACGTCTATTAGGAAGAGAGTTTAACAAGAAGAATATATGACATCAAATCACTAAAACAAATTTCCCATAGTACAAAAGGATCCAAAGGACTGTGGATGACTGGAAGGGCAATTCATGTTATTTCCGAACGGAAGGTTTCAAAGGCGAGGTATGAATTCCTTCGTAGATAGAGTTATTTCCTGTTATGTGGAATGAAAGTACTGACATAGTAAATTCTGGAAAGCCTTCCCATTGGATTTTATTCGTTAATGAAGAAGGTGCATTTATGTGTACGCGTAAGCTTGTAGCAGTCGAACAGACACAGGATGCTTCCATGAATGCTAAAAAATGGTCGGAATGCGACAGAAGTCAGCACACCTTTCCGAAAATTTCGCATGATTCCTTGTTTTCCATGTTTTCAAGATTTCACAGTGCAATTTAGGATCTAGCATTTTAAGAGACTCCTTGGGACCGACCGTAACGGGTCCAGTGTAGTCGAAACATTCCAACAGAACACATTTCGTGAGCACCCTCTTTGAATCTGTGTATTCTTTTTTTTTCCCAATAGGTTGAAAGTGTTGACAGTGATCTATGAAAAAACAAATCCCCCGGAAGGAACTTACTGTAGAAAACAAGTCTCTACAATAGACATATTTTCCCATAATACAAAGGTAACTTTAAAGTCCATGTTGATGCGCGTCATCTATTTTTGGATGTGATTGATTTAGTGCGTGCGGAGCGTGTGTGTGGAGTAGACATTTTTTGCTATGGTCCACAAAAAGAAATTATAAAGGCCTACGGTGTCGCGGGATAGATATGTAAGTTCGTTTTATCTGTAATTTATCCTTATTACTTGTAGTTGGCCCAGTTCGCAGTTCAACTAATATATTATTCATTTTTTGTGTGATCATTGTGATTTTACGTACCGCGACCTCGTGGCCGCGTGGATATCTGAGTCGATTTCTTTATATTAGTTCTATATTTCCGCTCGCTTCTGGTTGTTTGCATTTAGCCTGTTTAGTTGTATTTTGTTGCCTCGGAGGGTTTTCATTTGTCGATCTCTAGTGTCTTGTAACGTTTGTTTGTGCAACTGCCTTACGCTAGTCCTTCATAATTTTGTTTATTTCAGTTTACGAGATCAATTAATAAATGTGATGTGAATTTCGCTTCGGTCTCTGTAAAGTTCCAACCGTTCTGGTATTTTTCTCCGGTCGCGGTTTTCTCGGCAATACATTCGGCCTTGATGTTCGCCTGCCGTTACAGGACTGTACTTACATCTATAGTTCATAATCAAATTATTTGCCAATTCAATGTGAGAACAACATAGAAAAAGGTGACTGATGAGAGTCTTCTAAGAAGCTTTTAAACTTCTTACCCCTCATTCGCAGGTAACTTCCGGACCTGGATTCCAACACTCAGTGCTAAATTACACAAGGAATTCGAACTGTTTGTCATTCTCTAATGCACATTCGAAAATATGCCATTCAGTATAGACGAAATCGAGGAACTGGAGGATCTTTTCGAAATAATGAAATCGTTTAATCTTAGCGCAAAAGGATTAAAGGGAGCGGACGACATCAAGGTCAAACTAAAGGAGCATTTGGCAGCTCTAGAGGGATCTTCCCAACGGGAAGCTGGGCATGTAAGTAGAAGATTTCTCTGTTTATCATTGTATTACTCGCTAAGGTTACTTCCTACTTTCAGAGGCCGAAAAAATCAATTTTTTTTTTGGACTAGATTGAACTTACAAATTTTAACAAACTTTTAGGGAAAAAAAAAATTAAAAATCTCAAAAAGCGTCCGACTTTATATTTACAAAAACTTATTTTGAAATAAAAGTTATAATCAGTCAGGAAGGTGTCATATTCTCGTAAATAGCGAATCCCCCTGGGAAATATTCGCGGTAATTTCATGTCATTTGCATATTTTGTTTACATCGCGCACTTGACAAAATTCACACGCGGAAGTTATCTGCTCGTGGAAAGTCTTTTCTCACGGATAAAAAAAAAACGTAGCTCAAAATTAGAGGAATCCTTGGGTAAAGAAAAAGAAAAAAAACAGGCCCAAAGAAGAGAGAAATGCCAGCATTTTGTCAAAAAAGAAAACAAAAACAAAAACAAAAAACAGTCCTTGCTGAAAGCGACACTGATATGTGATATGTAGCGACTCTGCTACATATTTCCTGTCAAATCATTTCCGAATTGAAACACCCTAGCAATTGTTTTCCAAAATTTGTCTCAATTTGGCCTGCTCCAGAGGAAGTCGACGGCATCTTTGAAGTTTGTCCGCCCGCGACCAAATTTTGTCCTTTGGTGAACAAACCGGTCGCACTTGGTTTTTCATTGTGATGACATATTTATTAGGAAAACAACCATGGGTTTCGGTAACACTACAGACAGTGCTTTTGCAGAAATGTTATTGCATTGTTCCTACGATGGAACTAGAGACTCCGAGGAGATTTTTTCGAGGTGAGAATAATTATTTGACTGATTTTTACTTGAGATCCTGAGATATGTATGTAAGCGATCTCATTTGTACAAGTCATCATTCTATAATTGAAATGCATAAAGTAAATCAGTTTTGGCCAATATTGGTTATCTGTTTATATTTTATTTAGTGTTAAAGCCGAACAATTTCCTTTAACATCAGGTAAGCTTTGTACAAGTTTTATACACAGACTCGATTTCTGATTTTTCAGTCTCAAATATTTGGCTGCAAATTTGTTTACTGTGTTCTTCACCAAATCTTTGTTTTTCTTTTTAATATAGTGTTTGTGAATGACTATCAGAGTTCGCCATTTAACAATAGCGCGATTCCAAAACAAAAACAAATGACTGCAAAGGATCTCGGATGGAAATGGGCCTTTAAAGAGAGTCACGAAGGTCGTAAAAAGCTTAACGCATAATATAAAGAAACTTAAATGATGGAGAAGAATGGAAATCTAGGGCTAATTACTGTGCGGTTGATGACTTTGTGGTACTTCTGTTCTCGATAAAATATGTTAGGTAACCTTGCTTGTGAGACAAAACTTATTAAAGTATTGCGTTATTTTCAAAGGCGAAGTTAGGATGTGTTACCAAACATAGTAACGCGGTAATGAGTAACGTAAGTGACGGCATAAAAATCTCGGCTTTCCTTCCGCAAAGTGTTCAATTAGCAAATCTTGTCTGTTTTTCTAGAATTCATTAGTATTTATATTTGAACTATGCCACTTAGGTAAAGGTGCTTGGTGGGGCTTCCTGTGAAATATCTGTTAAGAGATATTTACGATTTATAAAAAAAAAACAATATAACAAAATAAAATTCAAAACAGTAACATAATATGTGATATTAATTCACGTCATATTTTATACAACATTTTCAGTTAACTTTAAATTGCTAGTATAGCTTAAGCCAAAGGTTTTTGAAATTTCCTGGAGAAATATAAAAATTTTCCTAACCAATTTTACAATTTTCCAAATTAGCTCCAGTGACGACCTAAAGCCACCCCCACAGACATCCCCTCATCCCAATTATCTATGCTTTCAGTAACTCACATGCAAGGCAGATGGAAGTGATAGTTCCTTGACACAATATGAAAAAAGGACTGGTTTTTTTTGGAAACCTAACACCTGCATCTCGTCATGAGAAGACACAAGTGCTTTTTGCACTGCAAGAATTAAGCCCGCTGAGTTCGTTTCTTTCGGGTGTGATAATCCCGTAGTTAATCTCATTTAATATCATTAAATAAATCATGAGCCGACTTGCTCAAGTTATCAACACTCTCGAGTTGGCACCTCGATAATGTGATTATTTCAATATTCGAATGACACGCTTTTGCCCACCAATCTTTTCTTTGCATACTGGTATTACAAACGCGTGATTCAGTAGCAGTAGAGATGGCACGGAGGAAGGTTTCTCGCGCTTTACTCGGGTCATCAGCCCTGAATTAAGTCCTCAATCGAGTTGGTACATTCTTAGTTCGAAAGTTTGTGGATCAACGCCGACACGATATTTTAAGCGGTCGCCTGTTGTCGCCAGTTTTCCAGGTGATTTCAAAGAATCGACAGTGCCTACATTCGGCTGCAAGATGGCCGCCACTCGGTGCTCTAACAAGAAGTCTTTAAATGCAACGGAAATTTTCTGTTCCTCGTTTGGGTTGATAACCACTCTGCTTTGCCGTTCTTCTTCGGAAAGCTCTGAGTTCATTTCGCAGCTGAGAGATTTGCTGAACACATTACATCTCACTAACATGTCTGCTGACGAAGAAAACGGAAGCAAAGCAAACAGAACGACACGCGCTTCACGGCGCTTGGAAATGCCACCGACACCAACGAACAAGACGTCGTCATCTATGGCTATGTCGCGTTATCAAAGACGTGTATTACGTGTGCGGAAAAAAACAGGGAAAGTTTGGCGATGGTGCTTTGAAACATGTTTGCATTTGGCGACCTAGAAGCGAAGGCCATCGTCGATGAAATTGTCGAAGTTGAACAACATGCCTCGATTAAACGTGTCATTTCAAATGCACTGTTACTTCTTTGCCCAAAATGTCGCCTCCATCATTCCTCGATGACTACCAACTTGAGAACAATATCTATAAATATAAAACGCTATTTTTGTGGAAAAGAGGTTTGAATGACACGAATGTGTTCTTAATATTTGACAGCTTTTCACTTGGTCCTTCTTTGTTTGCCAGTTTGGAACGTGAAAAGCCCTCGATCAGTGCGCTTGTGAAAGTGCCTTTACATTATGCAATTGCTTCAACTGCGATTTACTATTTATCATGACTTCCTCACCAAGGAGAATTTAATAGAACTGAATCTGTTCTACCGCAAAAGTGTTAAGAGTAAGAAGGTGCTGTTATTGCTGCAAGTGCTTTTGTTTCTGTTATAACCCTGTTTGTTTCTATACCTTCTTAGACGTTTCAAGTTTTATCGGAAGCTTGCAAGTTGGACAAAAGAAAACGTGATAAGCTGTGTAGCCTATACCAAAAGACAACAGAATTCTTTAGTGAGTTAAAAGAAGACGTCATCGTAAAAAACCTGGAAGAAAGCTTGGGAGACTTTAGAACAACCTTGAAGAAAAGTGCTGAAAATATCAGGCTGAAGGATCACTATGTAGTTCTTGTTGCAGGTGAGCGGGAATACGAAATTTTATCTAACGTAGAAATGTGGTCAGTGAACAATGCTAGACAAAACTCTAACCCGCTTACATTCGTGGTAAAATTTTTTAGGGAGACGGAATGTATTCTTTACCAGACTAAGTGATTAAAAAAACTAGAAACACTGACTAAATTGATTTATTACCGGTCCCGTGAAAGCCAATATCCCGAATGATCCCGTGCGACTATGGAACACTCTTTGCTCTGTCAGATGAAGATGGCAGTCTCTGCAGAAGGTTTTCTTGTCTATTTCATTTACTCCCTTGCCGCTCCCTAAAGCAATGACAACTTTCCTCGGTTTTGAAAAAGACCAAAAACAAGGTCACCTCAGGGCCCAACATCTCCATTGAGCTCTGAAATTCTTTAAACAGTGGCAAAATTTTAATGTAACAAACTCAATCATTCGTATTGGCACGAAATATACATCTAACCCACCGCTTTTTGCCTGTACCTACAAATTTCACTCAACCGCAACTTTATATTTCTTGAGATTCGAAAAAAATTCTTAGAGAGTATCGTTTACACCTTAACGAGGGAAAAATCGCTGATTTAGCACTATCACTCCTGCCCGGTTTACCGTGGACACTCGTAGATATTTTAATGAGAGAGAAAAACGTCACTCAGGAGTAGGTGGTCGGTTTGGCTAGCTGACTTGCTAGGCCATGCAATTAAAAGTATGGTATAAGTGCAGAAGGAAATTGGACATTTGATGTAATAAGCAGTATCGATCATAAGACGACTTCCAGTCACAGCATCACGCACCACGAGAAGCTTAAGTTAGCACATACCCAGTTAGCGTACATATCTACTCAGCACAAGAGTTTCGTAAAACGCATTTTATTTAAGGACACAAACTCTAGTTGTCAATTTTTTTTAATCCCGATCAAAAGTGAACATTTCAAATCCACTGACTTCAAGAATGTGTTACGCATTATAAAGAATTTTACTTACCAGAATATCGTCTAGACGTTGCCTCATAGGCTAGAAAACATGTTCTCCAATAACTGAAATCTGTTGTTCCTAGAAGTTATTTATGTCATTCCCACCTCTTTTGTTACTAACATAGTTCATCTTTGAAAAACAGGTGAAACCAGTGCAGGAAAAAGTAGCATTATCAACCTCATTCTTGGAGAGGAACTTCTTCCCTATTCAATTCTTAGTACAACATCTACCATATGTGAGCTGAGATATGGCGAGAAACCTTCCATTCGCGTGCACTTCAAGGGAGGAAGCGACTATACACAGGTGCCCATTTACCAGGAGTTTGAAAATTCCTCGGAGGATTTAACAAAAGAGATTGGAGAGTTTCTGAACTTAAAAGATGAACGAGAGAAAGGATCTCCTTATCAAAAAGTGGAACTGTTTTGGCCACATGATTTGCTTAAGGTAACTATAACGTTGTCTAACCCGAAAAAAAAAAAAACAAAAACATAAAACAAAAAAACTAAGAAACAAAATCATCCGGAAAAAAGTGTTTGTTGATAACGGAAGTTAACGAGTGACGTTCAAAAAAAATACCAGACTCCTTCCTTTTAGTTTCCTTTAAATCTTAGATCCATTTACTACATGTCTAGACTTCCCTTTAAACTTATTGGTAGAAAAAGGGCTGACAGGGTGATAATCCACAAAGGATCATACCCAATCAGTTTGAGTTTCCTTCTTTATAAACTCGAGTTATGAGTTTAATAGCCATACTTGGAAGAAACGATCATAAAAGTAAAAGAGATATATCTATTTACATTCAAATTCATAATTTAACGCTATGGTCGCTGTCAACAAAGGTTACATAATGATTTAGTTTTTCTTTTTTTTCCATGTAGGAAGGTGTTATGATTGTTGATAGTCCTGGAGTTGGAGAAAACGAAGCCATGAATAAATTTGTCCTGGACTACCTGTCTGAAGCCTTTTGCTTTATCTATGTGATTAACAGCACCAATGCTGGAGGAGTTCAGGAGGACAGGGTGAGCTCCCATAGCTCTCCTTAATATTTTGTTCTAATCCCAGACCATAAATGAATGATTGAGAGTGGATTTCCAAACATCTGAACTACCTTTGTAGAGGATACTGTGGCTTGCGCTGTATTTTCCCCACAATATCACATATCATTTCTCTCATTTCTTCGAGCCAAGTAGAATTTTAATAATCTGTCGGTTTTTTTATTCCATGCCTCAATTTATGGTTTGAATGGTTCTTTATCGAGTCTCATTAGTTTGTATGGATCATCCTGTTTATTTGCTGCCGCTTCTTTAGATATGTGATTAAACACCAGAAATCTTCCCTAGACTTGCTTTGCCTCAGGGCCTCATTTTTTCCTTTTTTCGGTGAGGCAGGCGAAGAAAAGTAACTATTCCTCCTAGACCAGTCATTATATACCAGTCATTAAATATGTAATAATTTCTCTTGCGTCTTCATGCCTTTTTTTACTTTAGGTACCCCAGCGAATTCACTTCACAGTTTGATATTTTTATTTTCCTAAAACAGCTTCTTATGTTGCTCGGCGAAGCAAAAAGTCTAAAAAAGGACGAAAGAATGGATGACAGGTTGTTTACCAAGTGTGCATTATTTGTTTCCAACAAGTGGGATCAAATTCCTGGCAACAATGTCGAGCAAGTGAAGCAAAAGCAAATTGAGAAACTTACTGAAAGGTTTGGAGACCTTAATCCGGAGAAGCAGATCTTTTATCTATCTTGCATCAGAGCTCAGCGTGCACTAAAGTATGGGGTCATCACCGAGGAATTCGATAAACTTTTGGATGGAATAAGTAGTCTCGTTGTGTCCTATATGCAGAGTAGTCTTCAGATCTACTTCAGGTAAGCCAAACATTATTTCAAAATAACGAAGTCTTGCCACGTAAAGGATCATATTGGCTGACAGTGCTTTATGCTTTGGTTAAGAGTGCTCTTTCAACTTATCATTGAGTTTAATTGATAATAGAGTTTCTCCTGAGCTTAACTAAAACAATTCTAGCAGCCAGCACGCAAAACTCTCGGTTGAGATATCCAGGTTTAAGCCCCGGGTCCCGACAACTAAATGCCCCTGAGGTCATATTCAAAACTCAAAATATATTTAACGGAGTTACGGATATCGGCTAGCCATTACTTTTTCCTTGGTGTTATTGTTCAAATTTCAAGACTACAATGACGTCGTTTTGAATGGAAATGGCATACGAAGACTAGCTTTTGGGGACCCGTGTGATAAACAAGACTCCCGAGAAACTAGCTTCTGACTAGGTCATTGCGTTGTACCTCCATATGAGAGAGTAGCAGCAAATTGTTAGGGGAAACGTGAAATTTAAGGGGATGGACTTCGATGGACTTTCAATCTATGCAACTCGAATGACAGCTATTTATTTCACTATATGCATTGGAATTCGGGATACTTTTTGGCAAGATGGACAACTAAACTTTCGTGGTTAACTATGTCTTTGAGTGCTTGAGTATGAAAAGAGAGCTTTGTTCCACAGGGGGGATCAGGGAGGGGGGGGGGGGGAATCACAAATTAATACATCCACAAAGGGCTTAAACTCGAAAAATTCTGTGAAAGTCCTTAAATATGTGTATCCAATTTCGGACCTCATAAGCCTCATTCGGACAAAATTTGACCTCATTCACGATTCAAAGATACGGAGTTTTCATGAAAAAATTCAAGGGTTAGTACATCTGTTCACGTTGATGGTCATTCATTCCCGAGGAGACAGCTGTCAAGATCGCGCGAGTAATAACACTGAATTCAAGTGAATGCGATGGACTTAACACTTTTGAACATCCTACAGGTGGCTTGAAGACCTCCTGTCTCGAACGTCCGGTCAAGTTCGCAGTCTGTTGAAAACAACGAGTATGTCACGAAAAGAATTAGAGAAGAAGATAAAACGAGTGATGGATAGAATGGCTGAACTGGAAAGCTCACAGGACCAACTTTTCGACGAGCTGAGTGAACATCAAATGCAAGTTATCAAAGGAATTATTAATGATCTTGTCACTCATTTCAAATCAGACGACATCGCCAGGAAATTCTGTTCGTGGTACGGGCATGAGATCCCTGTAGTTAAACCAACGTGGGAGGAAACTAAAAGTGAAGTACTAAGGTGTATCTCCGAAAGAGCCCGGAAGTTTGTACAGGAATGGGAAGACGAGAAACATCATTTTGCCAAAAGCCAAGTTGCCCTGATTCATCATTGTATCGAGAAGTATGACATCATGGAAGAAGATCTCAGAAACGTAGAAGAAGGAGCTCTCTCTGGAAATCCAGTGCAGGACAGACCCGACGACGCATACTCCGGGCTACCTGCTATTCAACCGAAAACACTTTCCAAAACACATCCACCAGGCAATGCTCCGGTATGGTTCCGACAAGGTTTGGCGTCAGTGGTACTTAGTACTCCTTTTATGGCTGCTCTGTCTAAGACATTAAAACGGAACTTTCAAAACAAAAAGAAGCTGGAAAATTTCAAAACTAATCCAAATTCATACATGGAGAAGAAATCCAAGAAGTGTCTGAGGATTATTTCGAATGAGGATAGCTTGCTCCCCTTCATAACTGAGCAGTTGGAGGATGCTGTACAGTTCCTGGTTCAGATTAAAGCCAAGATTCCTCGAATTAGAGAAGGTGATAAAAAGTTTTATCTACAACTGCTTACAGATTCGAGGAACGTGTTCGAAATCCAGGGGATCTACCAACCCGTTAATTCGAGTGTGGACGCATTGAGGCGAGAAATAGCAGTTTTCAAAATCAGTTCCATGAGAACATCGGATTTCTCAGCAGGGAAACTAATCTGGAGCCAAGATGATAAATTTATTGTAGGAAAAGGAACGTTTTCCACAGTTTACAGTGGTGTTCTCTGGCAAGAAGGACATCCAGAAACTAAGGTGGCGCTTAAAGTCTACAATAGCCCTCTTAGAAGCAGCAACGTTTGGCATTTTACCGAGGAGCAAAAAGTTCTCAGGTAGGGCTCTTCATTTGCATTGCGCGCAAAATTACTTTTCAAAATTTTAAATACAAAACTCACCTCACAAGAGCATTTATTGAAATATCCTTTTTGGAGTAGGACAACAACCGCGCTTTAATCATATCAAACCAGAACTAGGTGCGTTTGAACTGGGGGTTCAGTAAAGTACTTTCAACCTTATCCCTCTATATTTAATGGTAAAACGTCTGCAGCTCGAATAGGATAAAGCACTGAACAAAATTTTTACGTAAAATGTTCTCGCAAGTATCACAAAATTATCTTCAAAAAGAGTACGACATATCTTTTATTTCGAAGACATGTTTCGATGTTACGAACATCATCGTCAGTTACAGAATATTTGAAAAACCGTTAGGACTATGTAACAACTAGGCGAAACATGCATAATTAATTATGATTAAGTGACAAAAATTACATATTTGAGTGAATAACAAAGTGTTGGAAAGAATATAAAGCCTAAAGCGTAAGCGTCATGTTGACGTGATGAACTTGTTGGTTTAAATTAGGCTTTTCCCAGTTTAAGTGCATACCCTCCTTAAGTTTAAGTTAAAATTTAGTAGGGGCGGAATCAAGGATTTCTTAACAATCCGCAGAGCAAGATTGACGACAACTTTCTGAGTTTTGTAAATGCTTGAAGATATGTGAGGACTTGTCTGAAGAGAGATGTTCACGGACGCGTGTGGAAAAATGACGACCAGTCTCGCCGATATAGCAAGCATTACAGCAAGCACACGTAAATTTATATACCACATGTGAACGAAGTTCTCTAGGGACAGAATCCTTCACTGAGAAAATATTTCCTAAAATTAAAGGTGGTAAACACTCATTTGATGTCAAGATCATTACAAAAACGACTAACAAGGCGACGTATTTTGTTTTGAGCTACAGTAGAAAAACGGCCTAATTAAGGTAACTTATAAAAGTATTCTTTACCCGGTGAAGTGATATTAGAGGAAGAAGGTGTTTGAGTAGAGCCATTTCGGTCGATGGCTGTGTTCAAATATCGATAAACGCATTTATCGATAAGATGAACGGGGAAATGTTGGTCACGAAATTATATCGTTTCTTACCTTTCAGCGTTCTTAAGCATCCGAACATAGTGAAGTTTTTTGGAACACATCTTCTACAATCTCCGTTCCTAACAAAAGTAATGATTGTCTTAGAGCTCTGCCAGTGCTCCCTCAAAACAGACGTCATTTCCCATACTGAAAGTGCTCCCGCACACTCTAAAGATGAAGTGGCGCGTAAAAAAGTGTTGCACTGGGCTCAACAGATCATAGATGCCTTGAGCTATGTCCATCAACAAGGATATGTCCATCGAGATCTAAAACTGGACGATTTGTTGGTAAGTTATAGGCTCTTTAGTGATTTGGGTGAAGAAGTAATACTCTCTGAGCGAAAAAGAGTAATCATTTCACACGCGTTCTCATTGATCTCATTAAATTAGCAACAAACCCTAAATCTTTGAGAATATAAGTCAAGCGAAGCCACAGCCTCACATCATTGTTCGGTATCTAAGCATTTCCTATCGCTACAGCGAAGAAAATCTTAATTCTCCACTGGTTTTACTCAACATATTGATTTCTTGATGACTTTTAAATTCTCCTCTGTTAAGTTGACAGCTGATAACAAAGTAAAACTATCTGATGTCGGCGTTACCAAGCAGGAAAAGGAAATATCGGGTACGGTGTGCGGCTCTCTTCTTTACATGGCACCAGAGGTCTTGGCTGGCGAAATGTACGACAAAAGGGCTGATATGTACAGCTTCGGTGTGCTGCTTTGGGAGATGTGGTACGCCGAGACAGCCTTTGAAATAGAGCTCTTCACCCAGCCTTCACAATTTCAGCTTCTAGATCAAATAAAAGATGGACTTCGCCCAAGTCATATCAAAGGAACTCACGAACCCTTGGGCCCTTGGGGAATGTGGAAAAAAGTCATGGAGACGTGTTGGTTGAGCGAACCAAAAGAGCGACTGACTGCTGAGACTAGCCAGTAAGTCCTTGAAATGATAAATGAGGCATTGGCCATCGAGCTTCCGGGAAAAAGTGATCCAAATACATTGCCGAAGGAACCCCAAAGCCGATCGACCACAGATAGCAATCTCAATCTTTTGGATTCGACCAAAGACCCCAAACCGAAACAGAAACCAAAGCCGCCAAAGACAAAGCCAAAGCCAAAACGAAATTCGGTGTCATTTACGAACAAAGAAGGCGAGGAAGATTTACGTTTCCAATAAAATTTAACAATGTTGTATCGAAAGAAAAGAGCCAGGTCCAAATTATTCGATTTAGCTAACTTTAGCATCAAGGCACAATATTAGATCAAGCCTTCCACTTTTATTTTGCAATAACTCATAATTTTCTTAAAGTGTATTCTCCCTATAGTCTAAGGGTGTTGATGCCTTTTCTGGTTGATATCGTAGTTTATCTTAAAATTGAGTATGGTGAAAATTATCTTCTGACAATTTTGAAATACAACATGAATGTAACTCAAGAAGTTTGAGTGCGATGTTGAACAAATCTACTCTAAGATTCATTTTAATTCTGCCATAAAAAGAGAGAGATCACCGAATTTGTTTTAGTTTTTCATTCGTATCCATCCAAGACCATAATCTGCTCCAGATTCACACACGAGAAAGATTGACTTTGCACCGCATAATCATTCGCTATATTGTAATGAGGAGTCCCTCGAACGTACGAGCTTTTCGATATTTTTCTTTTCAGTTTAGAGGTTCATTAATATTGCTACTAGGAACTGAGCATTTGACCCCTAGAGGAAAAATTCAATCTGTGGTTGGTAGATGTCATTTTCTCGAAATAAATTAAGTTCCGTCTTTATTCTTCAACTTTATTGAATGAAAGGAGATTTGAGATTGTCAATTCATTGAAAAGTACTCCAGCAGGTGAATTCTTGGCAAGAATCCATAAAAGTCATTTCTGGTCAAGAATCGAACTACTGACGGAGAACATACTTTAACCTTAGGCTTTTCGCTGCTTTATCGCTATCGGGCTTAGATTTTAGTTTGAAAACATTTCGAGGTAGAAATACAAAATTTTAATTAGGTCAGACAAGATTCCTCACGCCTATGTAAGCTAAATAATTCATTGATACAGTCGATTTTTATTTTAATACAGTGTGGCCGAATTGGCAACTATCTTTGTCGGATGCTGTCACAGAACTCTATTGTTTAGCCCAGGAGCGGAAGTTTGTGACACTTTGCAATTAGTAAAAGCGAGATTTTATATTTTAACAAAAGGCCCGTTTGGATCAATTCCTAAACTATAAATATGCAAGTCATAGTTTATAAGTTAATCAAGAGTTAAGAAATCAAATGTTTTGTATTTTTACAGACCTAGGGTGTTCATTAATTTGATATATGAAGGCGGTAGACGATAGCGGGTTTGGAAAATCACACGCCTTTTGTAGGCATGTTTATGTTTGATTAGATAATAGAGAAATATGCTACGTAGATGGCATCAGGCATTATAAATGTAGTGCATTTATCTTTTTTTGCAACAACTGAAGACTGAATGTTTTCGTAGATTAATCAGTATTGATGTTTGTCTCTGTGGTACATGACAAAGTTGTGTAACTGTGCCTACATGGCATTAAACAATTCCAATTGAGAGCTCCCGAGATATTCCAGGAAAAAAGTGGATCGGTTACTCGACACCTATAAATAAATCGAGCTTTCTTTATGACACTGACAGCGCTGACAAATCGCTCGTTTGGAAACCCTACATCGACGTCATAAATTCTTTCTGGCACACCAACCGAGATTTCGTCGATCTGTTCATTTAATAAGCAAACAAACACCACTCAACAATCAAATTTATTGATGAAGTATCTGTTTTAGAAGCTACTTTTTTCTACGTGTAGCCTGTTTTCTAGGAGGTGGGGGACCCCAGGCAGATGGGGTAGTCCACCTAACCGTGGTCGACAAATAGGCCGCGTTTCCATGCAATCTTACATCCCGGGAATTCCATAAAAACGCAATTCTTTTCCTCTAAAATTTTCGCCAATACCTCGATGCGTTAGCCGTTTGGGACATTACGGCATCTTCTCTTTGGCATAACACGTAAATATAGTCTTGAGCCCAAAATAAATGACTAAATGGTTGTCGAGGTGTACTTGCCGAGAGGACGTAAAAGTTTGTGTTTTCACATTTTTGTTCTCTATAGGACGGCTAATAAAACTACAAACTTACTTTTTTCACAATTGTTTTGAACATTGGATCTTTTGTCTCGATACGTGGTCGTTGATGTCGCCGTCGTGGTTTTCTTAAAGTCTTTTACCCCACCTTAAGAAGTTTTCGCGGCAAAATTGCCACCCCGGCTGACAGAGTTAACCTACACGGCACACCGGGGAAACCCGCACGAGGGAACTATCCCACCTATCATGTAAAACACGGTGACCAAGATAAAATCAGAGATCATAAAGACATGAAGACTCCTCCACCTAAACGAGTGACTTCATCCACCTGAAATTCCCCGCCTCAACGTAAACAGGCCCTTATACACAACTATCTTAAAGTGTGAACGATTTAACATGAACTCAGTTCTCGGCATGAGGAACCGCCTCAATCGACAGAGACATTCCTGGACACGTTCGAAACAGTATACCTTCTTTACAACTCCTCAGAAATAACTCTTTAAGAGTAAAAATTTGAACACGCCTGGCACAGAGAGGCTACCTGAAAAAAAAAAAACTTTACTAAAGACGCACTCTGAGGGTGCAATACAATCCAACATTTACAAGAAATCCTTACGAGCCAGGGGCATTTAATACAACAACAACCGTTGCTCAGAAGTATGTTCAAAGAAGTGCCTTTAATATAATACAGAAAGGGGCGTTGATCCAAAGACCTATACTTGTGAATATTCTCTCAGGATGGTATCCATGACAATTAAACATTTTTAAACATTCTCGTTGTTCCTACTTAGAGGTCTGGCAGTAACAGAGCGGGCAGTGTACTCCATTCGATCCAAAGTTCTTTTACATCCCATGGGAACGGAGATTAGTCATTAACTACTTCCTTTCACGTTGTGATTGGTAACAGGGTCTTAACTCCCTACACATTTTGTCTCACATTTATAGAGAACGATTACCAGTTAATGGGGGCGCGTTTCTTCTGTTGATGATAGCAATATTCGTCAAAGACATCCACCTCCGCCCCTATTAGACGCACTTTGACATTGATTCTCGCGGAGAATTGCCTTACTAACCCCCCCCCCTCCTGAGGAGTAGATAAAGGGAAGACTAGTATTCCAATACATTTTTATTTGCAAAAAAACGACTTTTATTCTTCGGATTAAAGAAGAAAATGCGTGCCAGTGTTAGCACCCGCTTGATTTTTTTGTAAGATTTTATTATTTTAAAACAGAATCGAGAGGAAATAATATGAAAAACCAACGAATAGAAAACAAGAATGCATCCGGTAAAGTTCCCTCTTTCCATATATTTCCACAAATTGGAACCTCTGATGTTAGGGACATTTAGGAAATGTTTCAAAGTAGAATTTAGGTGATTGACTTTCTGATGTGAGTGTCTTGGACCACCTGAAAGTTCTCAGTAAATCACTTTTGGGGTACACAATCATTGCAGGAAAAAACGATACTAATCCGAGAGGAGGAAATCTAATATGGTGAAAACAAAAATCGACGAAGAAAGAAACCCATAGAAATATGGAAAATGGATGTACTCCACCTAAGGTAATTAAGACTTTTTTCACCTAGCATACTTTGGCAGGTGTTTCGACCTAGTACACTCTGTTCCACTCTTTGGTTGTGTTTCAAAACGTTAAATACATGTGGAACGAAGCACAAAGTGGTTTTGCGCTTCCATGCAATACTTGTGGATATCAACCGCTGTCTGGATATATCTAGTTATCTCTTGATCCCTTGCTTGTGACGATCACTGTGGGGTTCCTATATATAACAACAGGTAAAGGACTACTCAGAAAATAATTGCAATTTTTGAACACCATTCATACGTTGTGATGGCTTGTACGGCTAACTGTTATTCCAGCACTTGCGAGAAGGACAAGACACTTAGGTGGCGCTTAAATTAAAGGGAGCCCTCACGCTTTTTACAAACTACGTTCGAACTGTATTAAACGTTTTTCTCAATAGGTCTAGCAAAAACAACAACAAAAACGTAAACAACAACCCAAAAAAAAAACCTACGGAGCGATCTGAATATTTTTATCGTTTTCTAAAAAACGGTCTAACAGCAACTTCGAATTTTCCGCGACGGCCATTTTAAGTGGTGGGCAATGCACTCTGGGTTGACGACGTGGTTCCTCGGTGCACTTGTGGTGAAGTGTTTCACCCTTGTTGATATTACATTGCTTTCGTCTGTAGGAAATTTTGTAGCGAATACTTTAGTGTCAGATCTTCCCCATCAGCTGAAGCCACAAGCACTATGAAGTGTTCGATCGGCGGTCGACCTTCCCCATGAGCCGGAGCCATAAGCACTATGAATTCGAAGTGCTGGATCGGCGGTCGACATTTTCAGAATTAAAACCTGACGTTTCTCTATATTCTTCATCTTCTACTTTAATTTCCTGTCTCTCTTTGCTTGAAGACTT